CACCAAAGGAGAAGCCCCTGCCTTCCTCCCCCCCTCCCTTCCTCCCTTCCTTCCTTCCTCCCTTCCTCCCTTCCTTTCTTCCTTCCTTCTTCCCTCTTCTCCTCCTCCTCCTTCTTCTTCTTTCTCTTCCTTTTCCTCATCTTCCTCCTCCTCTTCTTCTTCTGAAGAACTGTCCACTATTAGTATCAATAGGGCTTTTTTTAGTGCAAGTTTCTCTGGGGCACAATCCCCTGATCTCTTGTGAGAGATACGCCTGGGAGACAGCATTCCGGGAGCTATGAAAGGTAATAGGGTGAAGGTCTCATCCACTGTTCAAACTGTAGACCTTAGTTTAATTCCTTTGTTTTTAAAATAGTGTTTTATTCTGGCCTTCTGCTGTGCCTGGTGTTTCTAAGTTCACAGACTCTCTAGTCCAATTTCTTTTCAGAATAAATCACTCTTCTCTTGCATGTGTTGCGGAGGGAGGGATTTCTAGTGTTGTGGTGTGGAGGGAAGAGTTTACAACTGATACTTCTGTTTTTATCACTACCCCTAACCCCCACCTTTGAAAGCACCTGGTAGCCCCAATACCTGAACTATTCTGTGATTCTTCAGTGTGAATCAACCTGCTTTTCATTGGCATATCTCTCTGTAGGCAGTCAAGTTTCAGCATCCCTTTCGCTAAGTCAGTTGCCGAGTCTCTGTTAGCCTTCCATTGTCGAAAAATTTGAGGCCATTTCTTCTCTAATTCTCTTTGTCCTTATGGTATATACATCTTTAAATTCATTTGCTATCATTTTAGTCAGGTTTGGGAAAATAAATGGAAATCTAGGCATTTATCCAATTTACATATTTAACTAGAATTGCTAGCATTTTTCTGATCTAGTAGGACATGATAAACTTCCTTGCATTTATATTTTATTGATTAAATCAGTGGCTAACTACATAAGTTAGAGGATATACTTAGTGGGGATAGTTAACAAATTTCTTTTTAAAAATCACTCTATATTGATTTAATATAAGACAATATACTCTGTATGTATTGATAGATATCAAATGATTTGACCAAATTAAAAGTATATTAAATATATTTATTATGTTTTTCTTTCTTATATGTGCACAATTATATTTTGAAATACCATTTAAAAATCCTTAAAGTAGATTTCTTTTCAACTTACTTCAGTGAGCTCCCCTCCATAATTACCTTGCATTTGCATTTTGCCCAGTTGTGTTTTATATTCCAAATCCTTGCCAGGGATAACCTTCGTAGCCACGTTATAAGTGAGCTGATTTCATTTGTTCAGTGTGTACCAGGCACTGGGCTACGTGCTGGGGAAACAGGAAGGCACAGTCCTGCCCTCATGGATTTTCTGATGTAATAGGAGGAGAAAGACAATTAAAACAAGAATTATAGGAAATGTGTTTAGACTAGAGTAGGGAAATATGGAGTGTTCTTAGTCACCTTGCCTAGAGGAAGTGACATTATCCTAAGAATAATGGAAATCTTTAGTAGAGCTTTATAATTAATTCGGTATATACGGATGCTGTGTATAGAATGGATTGCTTAGAGGCAAGCCTAAAGAGGCACAAGACTAGATATTTAATTATTCAGAAAAGTAATGATGATGGTTGAGAATAGCATAGAGATTGTGAGAGAGAGAATTGACCACAGCAATAATAGGGTAGATAAGGGATTGTGGGAAAAAGGAAATCAAAGACAACTGTTGCAAAAGTTTATATTTAATTTTTTGAAATCATCTGGCAGTGAATTCTAGAGAATGATCCAAATTGAAAGATTAGATAGATATATATGTGACATTATTGTAAAAAATAATTTATGCGTTTAGATATTCTCCCCCTAGAGGAAAATTATTTAAGTAATATGCAAGCCAGAGACTAACTTCTAAAACTGGCTCTTTCTTACTTAATATTTAGTGTAGGCAAGTGAATTATATTAACATATTAGCACAGTAATTATGATTAAAAACTTTAATTTTTTAGCAGGAACAGATGTTTTGAATTAATATATGTTATTTAAAGATGATTTCAAAACTCCTAGAAAACAAAGTTTTTGGTGATTAAGGGAACACAGTACATACCTATAGGGTGGCTATTATTTTTGAGAGTTTCAGATTAATGAGAGATTCTCAGTGTTATGAAGAATAAACAGGGCCGGCCCTGTGGCTTGGTGGTTAAGTGCGTGCGCTGCAATGCTGGTGGCCCGGGTTCGGATCCCGGGTGC